AAAAAAAAAAAAAAAAAAAAAAAACACAACACAACCAACATATCTGTCAGAAGTCTATGGGCAACATTAGAAGTATAAGACCAATATTCAAAGTTCTAACTCCAGCAGTCCAAAATCAACTCGGGCCTAAATCATGGCAATTGTGACTTGTTTTTGAATGTGCAACCTCCGGTAAGTTATCTTAATCCTTGTTGGTAAGTCAATATCATGGCAAGTGCATATCAGGCAAAAGGGCAGATAAGAAGATGCTGCTTCCCTTTAACTCACACCAAGTAGTAAAGTAATAAGAACTAGATAAAACCAATTCATGCACTTTAAAACACAAGCCAGGAATGGCAGCTCTGGTAGACTGGCCTCTTTATTAGGTACACCTCTTCAACTGCTTAACACAAATATCTAATCAGCCAATCACATGGCAGTAACTCAATACATTTAGACCTGTAGACGTGGTCAAGATGGTCTGCTGAAGTTCAAACCGAGCATCAGAATGGGGAAGAAAGGGGATTTAAGTGACTTTGAACGTGGCATGGTTGTTGGTGCCAGATGGGCTGGTCTGAGTATTTCAGAAACTGCTGATCTACTGGGATTTTCACGCACAACCATCTCTCGGGTTTACAGAGAATGGTCCAAAAAAGAGAAAATATTGAGTGAGTGGCAGCTCTCTGGGCAAGAATACCTTGTTGATGTCAGAGGAGAATGGGCAGACTGGTTCAAGCTGATAGAAAGGCAACAGTAACTCAAATAACCACTCGTGACATCCAAGGTATGCAGAATACCATCTGTCAACGTCCAACATTGAAGCAGATGGGCTACAGCCCCAGAAGACCACACCAGGGGCCACGCCTGTCAGCTAAAAACAGGAAACAGAGGCTACAGTTTGCAAGGGCGCAACAAAATTGGAAAAATAGAAGATTGGAAAGACGTTGCCTGGTCTGATGAGTCTCGATTTCTGTTGTGACATTCAGATGGTCGGGTCAAAATTTGATGCAAACAACATGAAAGCATGGATCCATCCTGCCTTGTATCAACAGCTCAGACTGCTGGAGCTTCGCCTCATGGATGTGCAGCCGACAAATCTGCAGCAACTGTGTGATGCTATCATGTCAGTATGGACCAAACTCTAAGGAATGTCTCCATAACCTTGTGGAATCAATGCCCCATGAAGAATTAAAGCAGTTCAGAAGACAAATGGGGTCCAACCCAGTACTAGCAAGGTGTACCTAATAAAGTGGCCAGTGAGTATATGACACTGACACACATCTTTATCCTCTACCTGTTCTGAAATATTTAAAATGTAACCAGTGATTTGCCCAGGCATTTAGGTGAACATGTTGGTTTGCAAATGCATGAAGTGAAGAGCAGCTGAAGAGAAGAGCAGTGATCACCCTTCAACAAACGAGGGTTTTCTATTTTCTCATAGAAAGTGGAAACTCCTTTGCCATCAGGACTGTGAACACCAATCTCACAGCTTTGAGGGCCCATTCACACCACATCCAGATTACCTCCAGACCAGTCCAGACTGTTTCCGGGCCCAAAATGAATCCCAATGTAGCCCTATGCTATTTCTGGCCTCTGTTCACACCAGCGCAGTCCATTCCAGACCAGACCAGAAAAATACTGCTTGTCCTATTTTGTCTGGTCTGGAATGCACTGGAACACACCAAAAAACGCATGGTACGCACCTGTAAGACAATTTTAGCTAAAAAAAAAAATTCCAAATCGCGGCAAAAACACAATACACTATGTTCCAGATCTGGTCCGGAAAATGGTGTGAACCCAGCCTAATGGAACAATTACAATAAACATGCTTTATATTTTGATCAACAATCCCAACATTTCTCTCAACACACTGTTAACACAATGTTAATTATTCATGCATTCTTCCTGCCAGTATGCACCCACAGCAGGAAATTTGCATTGATCACAGGACATGTCCTCCTACCATTACATATGTAGTAAGGAATCATATCAGTCCAATATTGCACACATGTATACATACACACAAAACATATAAACAGGCACACCTCAATTTCAGATTTTTATATTAAGATGGCAATATTTACAAGTTTAAATTGTTACTTATCAAAATAAGAAATTAGATTAACTTATCCAACAAGATAAAGGAACCATGCTAAGACTAAAATCTCACTGTAAAAGCGGAAGGTGAATAAAATCTAGATTTGCTCCCCTTCCTAATGTATTAACTAGCTCCCCACCTTGCAAACTCTATGCACGCTTCCGTACATGCCATGACCATCTCTGCCCACAGAGCTTCCCTGCTTATGGCACAGTTGAAGGGAATGTAGGGGGCATTCTGGTTCTGGGATTTATATCAACATGTAGTGATGTAGCCCTACCACGCAAACCCTCCTTATGCAAGCAGAATCATACTGAAAAGTAGCGATCACAGCACAGCACAGCACATGAGAAGACCATTCTCCGGGGAACTGTGTTATGTAAATAACTTTTATAAACCCTTCTAAGCCATGACGTGTTAATTTGCTTGCATCAATATATAGACGTGAAGAAAATTGTTGCTACCTTACAGCTCATTGAAACAATGCTTGTAGGTCTTCGGTATGTCAGAGTAAAGGAAAGTCTGAAAATAGATAAAATGATTGCTTACTCTACAAATATATTATTCTAAAAAATGGGCAGATGTTGGCGTGACGACATGGTCATCAGGTTAGAAGTTAAATGTGTATTGGTGTTGAGTTGTGTTTAATTATGTTCTACTGTCTAACCTGGTTATCAAAAGACACCCCCCCTCCCCCCCACCTCATTATCTCCCTTTGTACTCTGAAGGAGCTCAGGACAAGGACATTCTGGCCAGACTCCTGCTATGGCTGTCTGGAGCAGGTGGACCCCTGCGGGGTTGTGAAGACAGAATTTCTAGGGAGGGCAGGGTGGATGTGATGAGATTATATTCTGATCTGATCACTTTGTGTATAAAAGTTTGTGCCGTTGCTCAATAAATGAGAGTTTGTTTA